CAACCTGAAGCGATCGTCAAAGTGATCAAAAAAGGAACAAGAAACATTACAGAAACTCCTACGAATCTGTTCGTTCGCTCCAGTTCGGCAAAATCTACCCGGAAACTCGGATCGTGAAGGCTGGAGCATAGGGTAGAGAGAAGGGAACGGGCCGATAGGGGGGATCTAATGCATATACGACTACTAAAAAATCTGCGTCAGAGGTAGACGATGCAGTTCAGCGAATGCGCCGATCCGGTCTCCCCGAAGCTGTGATGTCTATGACACAGCCTAAGCACTGAGAATGTCACAATTGCATTTTTTGCAGATGATCTCGCCATATGCCCCACGTCGTACGATGACTAGCGTGATGACAGCGTGCGCTTGATCACTGCTTATATAGATGCGATGAGGTCAGGATGAAAATCAGCACGACAAAAACCGAGGTTTGGGTAAAAGAACCATCACTGTTCTCTACAGGAATAGGTATCTCCTACAGAATCCACGAATGATTAATTGACGGGACGACGAAAGAGACGGTTTCTTACATTGGCTATGTGAGCGCAATCTTTCGGGAAGCAGCAACAGGTCTATAAAAGTGAAAGAGCTGAACCGTAACACGAAAGTCTTCTTACAAGTCTCTATATATGTACTTCAGTGTAACCCATGGCAATACTTAGGTGTGTACTGACCGAGAGAGAGCTATCCAATACAGAAATTACTGAAATGCTTATTCGTAAGATCTCGGGTGTCACACGACTTGACAAACATTCAAATATTAAAACTGTTACATCATCGCCTACAAACCGCTACTTCTTTTGATCAAGAACTCACAATGGAGGGGAGATGGACAACTGATGCCAGAGAAGAAACTCACAAGGGCTGCCGGCAAAGCTACAGGAATGACGCCGAAAAGAACATGGGGCGGCATGGTTCGATTATATGCAAGACCTAATATTGCTTGGCCCTAAAACCCAGATACGGAGTGCACTGGTTCTGCTGAAGATCATTAACATAGTTCGATCTGAAATGGCAAGATGTTGTTCAATAAAA